CATGTAACTGAATATACTCCTGCTTTATGTTCCATTTTTTTATATTTCATTTCTCCTGTTTTTCCATCAAATACTGATATACTTTTATCACTTGAAACACATACACACATACTTCCATCTGGTGAAAATCTACAACAATTAATAAATCTCGTATGAATATCTTTCATACTTTTCTTAAATTTAAATGGTGGTCCTTCAAACCAACATGGATAATTATCTTCTCCTGTTGTAATTAATCTAAATGGTCTTGTTCCTCTAAAATCACATGATAATAATGTTTTTGTTTGTCCTGAAATCTCTCCTACTGTTGATCCTGCATCCCACATAAATACATTTCCTAATTTCTCTTTCCCTTCTCCAACTACACATATTCTTTGATTATCTCCTGTCCATGCAATATCATAAATTGGTCCTGAAAGTGCTCTAAAACTAAATTTTAATGGATGTTCTTTTTGTGTAGTATCCCATATTCTAACATTTCCTTGAACATCTCCTGAACAAATATAGTATCCACTTGGACTATATTTTGCACATGTTGTTTCACATGTATGTTCATAATAAATATCCGTATCCAATGCATTATCAAGACTCTTAATTACTATACAATTCCCTGTTGGATAAACAATATGTGTTCCCATCTTACTATGTTCATTATACCCTATATGAACTGCTTTTCCTCTTGTAACTGATGGCAATGGTGCATACACTTGTATCACTTTACTCATTTCACTTCTACTTTTTGAGTTTCTTTGACGGTCACTTTATTTAGTTCTTCATCTTTCCTTCCTTTTTCCAGTTTCTTTTTCTTTCTCTTTTCATTTTTTTGAGTTTCCTCTCTTTCTTAATTATTTTTATAATCTAAACGTTTTTGAGTTTAATAGTTACTTCTTCTCTATTTTCTATGATTTTCAATTATCTTCTTTCTCATTTTTTTCATTTTGTTTCATATTTTTTTGAATTTCTTGTTTTATCATTAAGTTAATTTTGTACTATTTTACTTTACTTTTGTGTTTATGTTTCACATGACGACGTGTTTACTTGTCAGTCATCATAACACATTATCTAGTAAAGATTGTATAGTGCTATGTTATGATAAAAATGGTGATCACAGACGTTGGTTAATCAGGAATATAAAAATTAACAAAACAAGTGAAAAGAAAAATGAATAAGAGAGATTGAAATTGTTCACAAAAAACACAATGAAATAGAATTTATTTGACATACAAATAGGGGGTGAAAATGATTAAAGGTGAGTGTAATAATAAGAAACGAAAATACAAGAATAATAAAGTCAAAATAAATGAAAGTAGTGGATGTAATTAGAAAGAAGAACAAACACATCATTAAGGAATAAAAAGCCAATAAAAGTAATGAAAGAAAAGGAGAAATAAGACATTTATTAAAACAAAGTATATGTACAAACAAGATTTCATTTTATTTATCTGAACATTCTTTATAAAGAAACTCTTATCTATTCATTTATTGTATATATTCACTGTTATAAATTAATGTTCTGTCTTTCTTGTTCTGGTTTCTGCTTGGAGATAGTATGGTAATAGAGAGAAATTACTCAAGTGGTTATTAAAAGAAAGCATATAATTACTATAATAAGGAAGAGAACATGACAAGAAATAAGAAATGAAACTAACTCTACTTTGTTTCAAAAACATGAAAATAGGATGTGGTAAATGATAAATGTTCATAAATGAACAATACACATAATTAATGACTTTTGTGGATCAACTTCTTGAAAGAATTTATGGTAGCGTATACAAAAGTTATTGTTATAATTTATCTTAACACTTTCTAGTTAATCTTCTAAAATTCAAATATCTAAAGTCAAGAAAATGGAAGTTATTTATTATTTAATGATTAAATAACTTGTTTAATATTCATTCTGGTAAATTTAACACTTATTGTGTAAAAACTGAAATAATAAATAAACAGATATTTTTCACTTATTCCTTTTGATTTTTCTGTTATTTAACACAATACTATCCAAAGTCATTATCTCGATTATCTTTGAATCACGAAACAAACCATCAAACAGAGTCTAAACACCACTTATTATTGAAACAAGATTTGTTAGTTACTGAATAATAAAGACAATAAATACCAATACTACAAAAGTACAATGTTCCTAAAAAAGATGTATAAATAAAGTATATTCTATCAACAACTATAACTCAGTTTATTTTTATTTTATTCACTTCTTTTGTTTATTGACTAAAATACTTTGATACTAAAATTATTTAAGTTAAAGAAAGAATTGAACTACTTGAGAAAATGAAGTGATAAAGAAAAAATAACAAGAAATAGAATGAGTGTCAAGAATTTAAATAAAAAGAGTAGAAAGTTAAATAAATAAATTAGTTGTGTCAAGATAAAGAAGAGATGAGAAGGAATAAACATATTAAATAAAAGTTGTTAAAACACATCAAAAATGGATATTTATGGACATTGAAAAAGTGAGAAGGAAACAATATTAAAAATGGTAAAATAACAAAGGAAAATGTACAGAAGTAATACAGAAGTAAAGTGAGTTTTGATAGAATCCACCAAAAATTCAAATAAAAATAAAACATAATAAAATGAATAATAAAAAAAAATAAATACAAGATGAAACATTTAAAATAAAAGAGGAAAGAAACAACAGAAAAGTCAATTAAAGAGGAAGAAGAAAAAAGATTCAAAATATTGACTTATGCCTTCTTTTTCTTCTTTTTGGTTGATTTTAGTTAATTTTTTTTTATTTCATAACTATATTTTTGATATTATTAATTAGTAGTTTTTATGAAATTTTTGAAACATATTTAAGAAGATCTGTTAATAAGCATTATAACTATTTCTATGAAATTGTTTATTCTCTTTTTTATTCTTGTTATCTGTTTAGGTTCTCAAGAAAAACAACAAGATAGAGAAATTCCAGTCGTTTGTCCTGTTTGTACATCACTTGTTGGAAAATTGATTGATTTCGTTATTGGTGGAGCAGTTGATAAAGCAACAGACTATCTTGAAACACTCTGTGCTAAAGCAGATGGTGTTATTGAAACAGTATGTTCAAAGATTGTTTCATATGGAATTGATAAATTAATTGAAAAGATCATAGAGGGAGGAAGTGCTAAACTTATTTGTGGGTTGATTCATGCATGTTAAACAATTCTTCTTTTTGTTCAAAATTGTTCTGTTTTTAATAAATTATGATTCTTTCACTTTGTTCAATTTTGATTAAATTAACATTCAATCATTCATTTACTTGGTTTATCTTCATTTATTATTTGAAATAACAATAGATTGTTATTTTAATAACATAAAGAAATAAGAAAGGTGACAAGGAAATGAAGATGTAAGATAAATAAGATACAATTAGTTATACCATTTGAAAGGAAAGAATTAAATAATACAAAGAAAATACAAAGAAAGTTATGAACATCAAACATTAAATGGTGTAAAAAATTCAAGATATTAGAAGAAGATAAACAATGATATTCAAAAGAAAACAAAAGAATAAATTCAAAAAGAGTTTTAAAAAATTAAAGAAAGATAGTTGAACAATAAAATAGTAGTATGAAATATAAAATAATTCATTATTATTTAGTAGTGAAAAACAAAACAACAAACAACCATAATAAATGATAGAAAGAAGAGAATAATGAATGATTGAAAATACAAAGAATAATTGAAAGTAATTATAATAATATTTAAAATAAGAGAAGAACAAAACATTGAGAAGTATACATTGATTTGAGAATTATAAATGAAATAGAAAAATTATTTATGAGAATAAACACATAATATCAAATTAAAAAGTGAAGTATAGATGAAGAAACAAAAATAAAGAAATAATCAATGATAATAAACAATAAAATTTTTAGAGAATATAAATTAAATCTAAGAAGTTGTAATAAAAGAACATAAGATAAAAATTAACATTAAACTAATGAATAACAAAATATATTTGAGATAGAAATAATTATGCTGAGTCAAAAGTATAAATAATCAAAAGAGACGGTTATTTTAAAAGAATATATTGTAAAAAAACCAACATGACTAATGAATTATTCTTCATTTAATAATGGGTTAATTCAAAATATAGAATAGATAGAATCATGATTTCATATGACAATAAAAGTTTGTAAAGAATATAAAGAATAATAATGAAGAAGTTGTAAAAATGTATTAAAGAGTTATAAAAGAGAGAAAGAAATAAAAAGATAGTAAAAAAACAATAATAGAAATATTTTAAATTATATCACATGTTTATTAATTATGAAATAATATAAAATGATAGAGATATTAATTAATGTGATATTGAATAAAAAGATAATATAAAAAGAATTAATATTAAGAGAAAGAATGAAATAGAAATCAAAAATCATATTGAAAAGAAAATGAAATATAATCAAATTAAAACAAATAAATAAGAAAATAGAAATCTATTCAAATATTTAAAATTATAAATATCTATTAACAAGAATGATAACAAAATAATAAGAAATAAATGATTAAAATAATAAATAAACATATAAATAAAATAAATAAAAAATACCATATAACAAAAATACTAATTAACACAATAAATAAAATATATTAATGTTAAGAATCAATTAAATGATTGAATATTAAATAAATAACAATAATATTTATCTCTTTGTTTTATTATTCTTAATCATTATTTGATATTTATCATTTCATCAATTAGTGTTGTTAAAATAAGTTTGAAAATTATTTTCTTCTCAGGTTAACATATTCGTTCATATAGTTTTATCTTCATTTAATATTATTTATCAATCACTCTTTTATTTTTATTCTTTCAATTATGATGATCCATTTATCATTCAAATCTTGTATGTTAAGAAGAAAGAACAAATAATTCAAAAACAAATAATAATAATAATAATAATAATAATAATAATAATAATAATAATAATAATAATAATAATAATAATAAAAGAATATGAAACATATCAAGAATTGAATAACTCAAATAAATAAAAGACTCATAAAGTATCACTAATATATATTATTATTATTTAAGATAATTTCAACTTTAAAAAAAATATGGTATTAAACATGTAATTTACCACAAAATAAAACAATCAATATAAAACACACTATTAAAACAAAGAAGAATATGAAAGAAAGGAAATGATAGAAATACAAAATTATAAATAATCGAAGAATTAATAGAAATATTAATATAATCAAAATGATAAAATGTTATTAATAAATTAAGAAGATTGTATTCTAACAAAAAAAGAAAATAAAAAAGAATAAATAATGAGTGAAAAATGGAAGCAATTTATCTAATAGTCATTTTTATATTTCAAAAATAATGAATTTCATTGAAATCACTAGAATTAAAATAAAGAAACTAAATTCAAAAAGAAATAAAATGAAATAAGTAAATTAAAAAAAAACAAATAAAATGAATAAAGAAATAAGAGTGAAGGAAATATAAAAAAGAATGAAAATAAACAATTTAATAGAATAATAGAAGAAGAAATATAAAATAATAATTAAATAATATGAATAAAAATGGTAAATTATAAGAAAATGAAATATTTAAATAATAAATGGATATAAAGTAAATCAAAATCATTAAATAACAAATTAAATTTCTTTCTTTATTTAAAATACAATCAATTTTTTATATAAAATATTCATTAATATCAATTCAAATATTTTAAATATTGTATAATACTATTACATTTTCAATAATATATTATTAAGATATAATGAAGAAGAATTAATTTAA